AGACTTCTGACACTTTTCATCTAAATCTGCTTGAATCAAGCCCTTATAGTGCAATTTTCTCATTTAAAACAAAAGAAAATTTTCCCTTCCTTTTCAAGAATTTTGCATTCAAATATTCAAGTTCGAAAAATAATATCCGAATATTCAAGAATCGATTGAATATTTGGTTATTCGGATATTTGGCACAGCCCTAGTGCTAGACTTCTTTACAAGTACATCAGTTTCTACCTGTTGTACAAAGCAAGCAATTTATATTAAACCAACAAAAAACTTAATGGCAAATTACCCCTTTGGCTCTGATCGGGCATGCAGTACAGTACTCGTAAGATACATGTACATACACCTGCACCTGGTGTGGATAACTCAACTGTTTGCATGGAGTTTTAACATGCATGGCTTTGAACAGCAAAGCATTCTCCACGGAGGATGTTTGCAAAGCATGTACATTGTACACAGTGTGTATTCACTCTAGTTACCAGCCCCTGTGAGCAAAAAGGCACCGGGGCAGAACTTGGAATGTTTTGGAGGGTCACGCCCATCATGCCATTAGTAGCCACAGGGGTTGGTTGGAAATGGCCAGAACTGAACACGGGTGCCATGGTTTGCCAACCACAGCACAGGCCCTGATTGGAGTCAAGCCAGGTTTGAGCTTAAGCCTTAAGGTCTTTAAAACAATCTTCCATAGTGGAAACCATCAAGCGCTGTGAACATTTTCTTCCAAGAGAGTAACTGAACATTTTTGTCAGAACGCCAAACCGAACGATATCCATCAAAAGAAGGAGCTCACTTTGTAAAAGCAAACTATAATAGTAACTGAAAAAAAAACACTTAAAGACTCATTTTGTGGGATTTGGTACAAAATCATTCAAGATCCCTAGGTCTGCTGTCAATATGGTCAAAATACTGTGTCAGTATACACTGCCCTGAGAAAAAACTGTTTACCCGAGAACGGGAGAAAAGTGGAAGCTATATCGAGTGGGAGTGTGAGCAAATGAAAAGGGTGTTAAGACACAGTCAGATCGACATCCAATGGAGTCCAATCTACACCTGACAGGGCAGGTGGCTGGAAGGTGTGAGTGCTGGGTGAGAGTGTTTGGTAACTGGGGAGTGATATCACAGGTTCACTAGGACGTTTCACGTCCTTGTTTACCCTAAATACCACTGTTGTCTGGGGTCCTTCACTCAGAGGCATCATGTCCTCACTTGCCCTAAATGCCACTGTTGTCTGAGGTCCTTTGAACACTAGGAAGTTTCATGTCCTTGTTTCCCTAAATGCCACTGTTGTCTGAGGTCATTCATTTGGAGACCTGTACATGTATCATGTCCTTATTTATCCTGAACGCTACTGCTGTCTGAGGTCCTTCACTAGGAGGCATCATGTCCTTGCTACCCAAAATGCCACTGTTGTCTGAGGTCATTCATTCGGAGACCTTTACATGTATCATGTCTTCATTTATCCTAAAAGCTACTGCTGTCTGAGGTCCTTCACCAGGAGGCATCATGTCCTCATTGCCCTAACTGCTACGGTTGTCTGTGGTCCACAGTTCCCACAAATACATGTCCATGTACACTGTACATGTACCAGTAGCACAACTTTTTCTTCCCTTTTCCAGGGAATTACTGGTCGAACTCAAGTTAGAACCTGAGTCTTGATGAACTGTCAGCCATCCCGATTCAACCATCAGTGAACTATTACATGTACACTCTACATGTACACAAAACAATTGCTCCAAATACTATAAATGCCTATTTAAAAAAAATTGTTTTTCAAAAAACAAGAGCTGCTAAGGTTAATATTAAATCTTTTTATGCTGCCTTTCCATGAGTGCAATTACACTTTCTGATCCATTCATTACTGTCCAATTGCAACAGACACTCTTTGTGAAATGCCAGCACAATACAAATGTCTCAATAACCCCCACCCCTTGTCCTTTAAGCCCAACCCCACAAAACATACCACAAATGAAGATGAAGATTTGTGTTACAGTACTATTAACATATGTACAGTATGGCTGCATTAATAAGAACTGCTTATGAAAAGCAAGCCATGTATCTTTTTTTTAAAAATGTATTGCAACCGTGGCAACCACAAATCCACATTACTGCATACTCAGATCCCTAAATGTTTCCAATTCCATGTAAAACTTCAAGAGCTTACCAGTGTGTATAAACAACCTTACAAGAACCCAGCAATTTTAGCGATTAATATCCTGATATTTTGGCCCGTTTTCCATTTTGCCGCTTTCAAAGCCTAGATTTTCGTGCCTGCAATGATGTATCACCTTTACATGTGAATGCCTACTTGTACAGCACATGTAGAATCCCTCGTGTTGCACTGTCAAATGACATTGCATTCAAGTCTATTTCCCCCATCCCCCTAGAGAAACTGTCATTACAAATGGGTATAAATGCATCTGACGAGTGTAAATACTCGGTACAATTCTAATATTTCCAATCCATTTTTTTTCTTGGTGACCGGCCAAGCCGAGAGCAAACAGAGCACGCCAAATTGGTAGGGGAACACGGAAAGCCTTTTGGATCAGTACCACGAGAGCAGCTAAGCACGCAAGCATTTACACACGGTGATGTATTTACTCGGACACTGTAATGTCCAGCTCTCTGGAGCTGAATGGCCAAGATTAAGGTGGACGTACAGGGGAGGAATTAGCGGCAGGCAATTTGTCATACTGTGTTATAATGTCTATTGTCCAAATTCACTTGAGTACAGAAGAACTCAATCAAATTGCTTTTATGACCATCGCTTTCTTATTGTTTTCACTGGACTGAGGTAACTAGCCTACTTCTATAGTCAAAGGAAATTTACATAAAGGCTCAAGATTCTACGGACCAAAGAGCTGTTCAAATTGACCAATACCTATCAGGTCAATGGCCCACTTCAAATGGGATCAAGTGGAGCAAAATAACGCTAGAAAGTGAACTGAGGATGTAAGTATACATGTACATTTACCTTGTAGAACCACACAAATTGCAATTCCTCATGTGCCTGGTAAAAGGGCGTTCAAGTCTTTTTTCCCACTGAACTTACAACTACATCAGTTGGCTCCATTGCACTCTTTTGTAGACAAGCACATATATGTAGGTGAATTAGTCCTGGGCTAAGATAAGCGTTTTCCTTGGCATTTCTGTTAACTTCCGTATTGGTATTACAGTTCCTCAGGACTTTGATTTCCACGGGCTCAAGCTATAATGCAACAATATCATATTCCAGTAGTTTTGATGGCAAGACTGTGGTTCATTGGGCTATTTTTTGTTTGCCATTCAACTATTTTCGTTTATAATATAATGCGAAAGACGGATGACATTACCAGATGTATTGCAATGCAAGACACAGGATTATTGTAAATTTTCATTCTCTTAATCGTGTTCAGAGTATCATTTCTAACAGAGATTTCAACGCGTTGTTTCTCTTCACTGTGTATTTGATATGGGCTCTTTGATTAGATGTCAAGGTGGGAAAACGCCAAACAGGATAAAATTTTGAGAAAAGTATCATATCTGGTAATCCGCCACAGAGCGAGGGGGAAATGCCAAGTTTATCTGGCGTGAGCCGGGTATTTCCTAGGTCTGACAGATCTGTCAGAAATAATGGTGACCAGGCCTTGAAATGAAATAAAAAGAGGAGGGGGAAAAAGTTGGAGTGTGTGAAAACAGACATTAAAAAAATGTCGGTGAGAAAAGGCTGGGAATCTCGTTGCTGGTGACAAGAAGAAAACAAAAAAGCACGAAGGCAAGCTTCTCAGAGACCAGCTGCTCTGGGGTTGTCCACGGAGATTGCCTTCAGGGCAGAGAGTGTTAAAAAGAACAGGACGCTAGGGGTGATAGGAGAACTCGGCTAAAAATTACTGGGGTAGAACGACCGGCCAACGCGGTTTGGCCTGGCTCAAAGTAGGTCACAGAAATCTGCCGCTGTGGATTGGGAGCGTCAGCCGAATGCAGTTGCTGGGATGTCGAGCAATGGATGGAAACCAAGTAGAGATTATCACATTTTGTTGCCGTGGCAGGGAAATGCGGTAATGCAGAGAGGTGGAGGGGAACAAACGGTGAAATAAATTCAGAAGGGAGGCAGGGGTACTGGGTCACCTGGGATGGTCAGGTTTATCTCACTGTGAGATTTTTCGCAAATTTTAAGATAGGATTACAGGGCCAACACCGACGGCTGTAACCAAAGCCTTAAGATGCACAACACGAAGAGAAAATATTTAATCATACTAATAGAGAGTGAAATGCTGGGACTTTTTTCGTCTTTTTTTCCCCATCCTTCTGGCATCAAGTGAGGACTAGTCCTGAGATGGGCACCGTCTTAATTTGGAAGATGGCAACTCCTGTGTTCAATTGGCATCGTTGCTGAGATCCTCCAGTCCGGGAGTCACCGATGTCGGTTCCGCCTGGATGCAGGGGAGAGTCTCCTGGGGGGGTCTCTGATCTCCTGCTCTGTCGGATGCAGCGCATGCATCCTCACTGGCAACTTGTCGTCGGGGACCCCGAGATGCCAGCCTATATCTGCCAGTGAAACTCCATTCCCACCCATGCTCTGATTAGCTGCAAGGGTCCCCCTAAGAACAAAGCAGGTCTCAATGCTGCCCATTTCGGTGCCGTCACGATCCACTGACCCATCACACTTGGACAAAAAAAAAAAAAGAAAAAAATGTCCTGCACTGCTCTCCACTTTTGATCCATTAACAAATTAGCTTTTCCTCCGCCTTGCACATAAATTACTCAATGGTGCTGTTTGTTTTCATCACTTCATTAGTTTCTCCATCACCACCACCATTTTGGACTTCTTGTCAGGAATGGATGCAAGGGGTCTTTTTAAAGCCATAAATTATAGCGTCTTAAAGTGTGTGGGGAGGGAGAGTGGTAGGTTGGCATTCAGAGATTAGCAAGCCCATTAGAAGTGCCTCACACCTGGGGCTGGCTACATACATGTAGGACTACAGTAGATTGTCTGTAATTTTCTCTCAAAATGTAAATCAAGAAATTGACTGGAGCAGGATTTGAACCTGCGACCTCTGGAACACCGTACACCAGTGCTCTACACCAACTGAACTATCCAGCCCTACATGTACGTTGGAGGTTCCTCCCAACTGTCAATATCTCTGTTCGGGGGTGCTAGCCAGAAGCCATTAAACCTAAACACCATATAGCCAGGGATCACATCCCAATAACACAATACAACCTGGGAAAAGGTAAACAGGGAACACTCAAAGAGGATACGGCTTTTTGACAATTGGCAAGAGCCACCAACATAGGGCTGGATAGCTCTACGTGTAGTTGGTAGAGCACTGGTACGGTGTTCCAGAGGTTGCAGGTTCAAATCCCGCTCCAGTCAATTTTTTTGTTCATTTTTACCAAAATGTAAATCTGCTAAACAATCGGCCAGAGGTTATTGTAAACCTGTACACCATGCAAGTTGTTGGAAATGTACATGTACTTTTAGTGATACACAAAACATTTCCAAAGTTTATCCCAAGTACTGGGTCCCAAAAGAGAAATCCAGATCTGCCAACATACTGTACTCCTTCCTGAGATCAGGCATTACCACGCAATAGATTGAAAATTGAAATGAACTGAAGGCTCATTCACATTGTGTAGTAATGCCTGACTTAAGGAAGGAGTAGGGCTAGGGTGGCAGGCTTAGAAATCGAACTCTCTCCAAAGTGATAATTAATCTCACTACTTCATTATTTTCCAGACAGGAAAACACAAAAATTTGCACCGTTTGAAATCTTGGCTTGAAAACATTCACTGGACCAACCAAAAACATGGTCCCTAAAATGTGGAAATGCTCACATGAGATTAAAGATATACAATCAGAATTTCATAGAGTGAACACAAACACACGTACGGTAGGGCCTCGAGCGAACTGTAACAAACTTATATTGTACCCTTTGACACACTTTGTCTCCACTTGTTTGGAGAAAAAATATGAATACTGCCCTGTGGAAGGTTGACTTCTTAATGAAAAGGGCCGCATTGCGGCGGTGAATAGATCAGGCTGGAGATTAACGAGAAAAGTAAGCGGGAGAGACCTGCGCATCCCCGGAAAGATGAGAAAAGACTATTCACACTGAATACAACAACAACGTATCAAGTTATGGGCCGCTCATAACAAGACTGCCACCATGTCGGCCCAGCGAGGTGCCATAGTTTGCGCTTCCAAAGAAAAACCCAGGAGCATCAGATGAAAAGAGAAAAGTGGCGTGACAGGCAGATGAGACCTGCAGGGGGGGGACATAGTGTGACCCAGGTGAGATACCGGTGGTCTTGGTGTCCCGGTGCCCGATAGGGTCTGGGCACGTTTTGGCCTGAATAACATGCATATTAATGAATGTCAACTTCATTACCGTAATCTTGATATCAACCCGTTCTTTTCCCTGGTGGAACTGTGTTTTCACACTAATAAAGTTCATAGAACTTTTCCAGGGACAGGTGAGGATTACAAGTTCCCACCACATTTATACAAAGACATTTTCCAAACACTTTGGACTTCTATTTCTTCGAACCTAATTTCAGACTTTTTGTGAACCTATCAACACTTCAAAATTTCTTACAGAAATGACAATCACTGAAGAACTTTACCCCAAAAATAAAGCCTCTAAAAAGGAAGTCAGAAATTTCACACTTTAAATACAGTGTAGGCCTACGTCAACACGAGTCATTGAAACCAGTGTGAAAAAGTGATGATACATTTAGCGTTGAGGTTGATGAGCTTGACAAAAACAGAATTGAAAGTGTCATTTCGTTGACAGTACAATGCTGTGCATGTACATGTACCTGTGAAGTCTGTGTATATACTCCTGTACATCTGGCTTGACCTTGGCAGTCTGCATGTGCTGTACTCATAGGGCCAAAATGCATGAAAGCATGTACAAGTACACTTCTCAGACAAGTGGATGCAAACTTGAGAAATTTGTGACTGTAGTTTGCTTTTTTTGGCGATGTTGAACTCATGTCAGGACACAAATGTCTCTAGTCCTCTTAATTCTTGGCAATCGTAACGCTGTAAGACGACAGCGTCGAGACCGAGCGAGACGCGCTTAAACTCGGTGAATTGTTTAAACCAAATATCTCAAAAACCAACACACCTTAGCGCAAAAATCCACTACAAACACTCATGGCCCCGGCAAAATTTGTTGAACACACAGACGGAACAAGCCGTGGGTCCGGGGGTAGTGAAGAGCCGTCTAATAATTAGAGAGACGGCCGAGAGACGCGTGGTAAAAATGTCACCCCGTGCTTTAATAATAATGAAAAAAAAAGAGGTAAAAAAAAGAAAACACTTGCCACCGTCCTACGCCTGTGTAAATGGTACACACGTGGTCGTCACACCAAATGTGTTTATTTTAGGTGCAAAGCTAACAGGGGGAATGAATTGGGCTCTCGTCCTTGGGACGGGACAAAGGGGCCATGTTTGTGCCCTTGCACGGTAAGTTAACAGTGGCTATTCAATAATGCATGGCCCCCGTGTGGTATCAACATTGAGGGCCGGGGACGGAATGGGTTTTAATATACGGCAGTGGGGGGGGGAGGACAGGAAGGGGGGGTCCAGTTGTGACGACGCTGGCATATTTCCTCAATGTTGACTCTGGACGGTATCTGTGTCAGGGAAAACAGTGACAGGGTTTTTTGGGGAGGGGGGTTGGAAAGGGGAGGGAAGGGCGGAACCCAGAGAACTGAAGAAAACCCAGAAGAGCCAGGGAGCAAAATATCCAAACGAGACACAAAAGACTCATTAACTTCCACGGAGCGCACGGAAACACTCCCTCAAACACTCGACCCGTGAAGTTCACTCACGCCCGCCCGTGTGGGCATGGTGGATGGACCAATATGCAATGCAACATAACCTTCCATATATCCAACTCGTCAATACACCTGTACATTTCTTTTTTACAAGTGGATACAATGGTACAAACCACCTTACAATAAGCATCTCTGATTACTTAGCTACTGGGTGTGTCACCTTTATGACACACTCACTGAGTTGGGGCCAATTTTCTGCTTAAACACAAAATTTGCAAAATTTGCTTAAGTGCAAAACACCTTCCTTAAAAATCAAAGGTTACCAGCTCAAAATCTATGTGATTGTCGTGCTAACCAAAAGACAGTTGAATACCATTCCAAAACAATATACATGTACATCACATGGAGTTTTGGGCTGGTAACCTGATTTGTCAAGCAAGGTTTTTTCCATGCTTAAGCAGATTTTGTGCTTAAGCAGCTCTATGAAATTGGCCCGAGCTCAGCTGGAGCAACAAAAATATATGAACAAACCTGCACACTGAACAAACCACTGCAATACACGGTACTTCAAATGTCCTAATTACGTGAACATGTGGATGGTAACAGTCTGTACTGTCCAGTCCTGTGCAATTCAGAAAGCTACTACATGTATGTACAGCACATGTACATGTACATGTACACATGCATACATGTACAGGTAGGCCTACATGTACACTGCACCTGTGTATCATGTTTACATGAAAACCAGTCAGTGTAGAGTTGTGCAAATCAAGATACCTGTACTGCGATACATGTTCATACAGCAACATGCAGTATTGTACATGTACATGTGCACATGTATTTCAATGTAGATGTACATGTACAGTAGTAAATGCGTATTTCCCAGTCTCTGTGTGATTTCTACAAATGTTACCCATTTGAAAATCCAAAAAAGCCATGATGCTGACAACGATGCCGTGGCTTCAACAATGACTTTTGGGATTTTTTTCCATACTGAACGTAAATGAGCAAAGAATGTGTGACTTTCACCAAAACTTGAACCAAGCAGGGGCCTATAATGAGGATCTCTATTTCATTGTCAAAAGACAAAACCCAGCTTCAGTGTCTGTCCTGGTTCGTTCTATGTCTTTTGAGTCGTAGTCAGTGGCTATGACTCATGACATACCATTCAGCCCGAACTCCAACCCAAAGAACGTGACGGAAACATTATTTATTCATTCACTGAATTGAATTTCATTTATCCAAATTTAAAAGGTGAGTACTAATACCGGTGCGTATGTACAGCTAAGACATGTACATGTACATGTAAGTACATTTGCAAGCAACATTTGCATTTTGAAATTCTTTTTTAAAAGCTGTCAATTGTTTTGTTTAATATTTGTTGACATCTTTACGTGGACACAGGTGCAAATATAGAATGCAGGATTTGTTTGACAATTATTGATGTTATTTTGTCATGTGAGTGAGACTCAATAGTCATCACGATGCATGAGTACATCACATAAAACCATTCGCTCTTGACAATTTCTTTCCCCTGCTAAAGAGAGAGGCCTCAAAATATTAACTCCTGGGTCCTCGAAAAGGATATTGACAAAATGATTCAGGGTAGAATCTAGGTCAGAACAATAAGTATCAGGGGATGGTTATGAAGTATTTTGTCTATTTGAAATGCTCCAGGAACAAACAAGAAGAAGGAAGGGGAAAAACGAGGTCAAGCCACGGCAGATGTTACCATGTGCTTGCACGACTGATCAGTCGCTAAATTGTCTCTGACAATGGTAATTTGGCGAGTCAGCGCGCGCAGCCTTGGAGGTGGAATCTCGGGGAGGGTACTGCTGACCTGGGCTCGATCCACCTCACCGATGGCATCCGCCGAGCATGTGTTTTTCTGCTGGCCACGTACGAAGGATTCTGTGATTTCGCTTGGTGACCAGTCGAGCGTTACAGCAAACAAATGGCCAGGAAAAAAAAGACTGCCGGGCAAATTTTTTTCCAAAATTACACTCTACTGCAGGTGACAGATTTTCAAACACCATTCACAGTTCTGCATGGCCTATATTAATTGACTTACATGTACAAAACATGAAACTTCAGACTTTCTGTATCATTCTATGCATGAAATGATGACAACACAATGAAACAACTGACAACGATGTTCTGGGAACATCTGATCTTCTCAAAAATGTCTAAACCCGAGATACATGTACATGTACCTCAGCAATGTACATGTACAGTAAACAGTGAACATGGTTAATTTAACTTTAATCTCATCCCAAACATCTCTGTTATGTAACAGTTTAGGTTTTGATGAAAACA